GAGTGAGGAAACTCCAGTAGTTCTACAGTTGCTTTAGCCTCAGCACTGAAGAGGGTTGATATTTAAAATAAATTTAAAATAAAAAGTGTGCAGCTCTCCAGCCAATGCAGTTCAGAATGAAGGAGTTCCAGGTACAATTATGTTGCTTCAGTGCTGCAGTTTGTGTAGAAATAAGGTTGAGAAATTTAATGACTTATTAAATGTGAAACTTCCCTCCCTCACCTCATGTTCATACTCTGGTAACCCACATCTGCTCTGCTGCTTCTAAGCAGAAGCACAGGCTTAACTTCAGCTCTTTAGTTCTCAGTTATTCTTTTCTGCCTTGTTTTAATCTTCTAGGGGAGACTAAAAGATGTTTTTAGCAACAAGAATATCCCCAAATCTCAGAATTCCTGGGAGACATCATTAGCTATGAGTCTTGTCTTGTCAGATCTGTAGTTCTGTCACAGGAGGAGTTTAAACTGGGTGATTGCAGACCTGGTTATTGACCAGGAGGGGAGAAGGCTTTACATTTTAGAGGAAGGAAAAAATGCAGAAAAAAAAATGCTGTTGGTACTGGACCATTTCTCTCCAAGAGTGGGAGCTGTGTCTGACTGATTGGAGGGGAAGGGGAGAGGATATCATGGACTGGGAAATGTCACACGAGTCTTCTCACTGGCAAAATCCATCTTCCTTCCAATATGAATTTAAAGAGCACTCAGGTGAATAGGTTTCTGTGAGAGACATCCCTAAAAGTCAGGGGTGTGGTGAGAGGGCAGCACAGCAGGCTCAGCTCTGTCTGGGGACAGGTGCCAAAGCTGGACAGGGGAGGGATGAACACCATTGCAGCTGAAGGGGAGCTGCACCCAAGTGCAGTTTTCACTGCTGCCATCACTAATTCCAGCACCAATTCCCACAGTGTTTCATCCTGGTTTTAGCCAGGCAGGGGCTGTGTTCCTAGGGCAGGAGGTGCTGGTGAGCAGGAGCAGATGGGAGCAGTGTAAGGGCTCTGGGAACACCAGACAGTGTTCCTGGTTCAGACTGAGGGGGCACCTGCCCTGGGGTGGTGGGAAGGCCTCAGCTGGAGCTCAGGATTCTTCTCAGAATCCTTCTTTCTAGCTCCTTGTGTTGGTGTCCAGGAGCTGTGGGCTGAGCTTTGGCTGACAGTATTTTTGGAGAAGGAGGTTTTTTCCCTCCGATGAAGAGCATAGGAATAAAACTGGAAAATAGTTGGTGCTGGATATGTGCTATAAAGGATGAAACACTATTACAAAAAAAAAAAAAAAGAAGCAAGGAATGACCTGTTGAATTTCCTTTTAGTTTACATTGCAAGGTTTATTCTACTGAAGTGAATCTTTGTTGTGTCCCTTTTCTGTGAAATGGCAAAGAGAGCTGTGCTCCAGCTGTATTCCAGCTTCCTCTGCCTGTTTCTGGTGCTGTGCAGCTGTGGGGTGTTCAGCTGCTGTTTGTGGCAGAGGGAAATGTTTGAATCCCACTGGAGGGGGTGAGGTGTCTTCACCAGGAAGGGGCTTTGGCTGCAGTCGGTTGGGAAAGCAGGAGGCTGAGCTGGGGCTCAGGGGGAGCTGTGGCTGCACCAGGGCAAGGCTCTCCCAGGGAAGCCTGTGGGATCAGGGGGAGCTGTGGCTGCACCAGGGCAAGGCTCTCCCAAGGAAGCCTCTGGGATCAGGGGTTAGTTGCTGCCCTGGGCACAGTCCTTGCTGCCAGCAGCGCGCAGAGGCCAGGAAGCTTCGCTCCAGGTTGTAGGGCACTCCTTTCCCGGGATAAGCCGAGATGATCGGGTTTGAGGTTCGGGAGACGCTCTGCATGCCTGGTGCCGGCTCTGACTGTCCCTTGTGTTCCTTGCAGGCACCCAGGGCGTGGCGCCGCCGCCGCCCGCGCCCGTGGTGGGGCTGCAGACTCCGTCCACGGGGCTGCTGGGCGCCCGGCCCGGGCTGATCCCGCTGCAGCGCCCGCCGGGGATGCCGCCGCCGCCGCCGCTGCCGCGCTTCCCCATGCTGCCGCCGCGCCACATGCCGCCGCACATGATGCACCGGGGGCCCCCGCCGGGCCCCGGCGGCTTCGGCATGCCTCCCCCGCACGGAATGAAAGCGCCCTTCCCGCCGCCCGGCCACTTCGTGCGGCCCGCGGGCGGCCAGGGCGGCAGCGAGGAGAACAGGGACGGGCGGCAGTTCAGGAACGACAGGCAGTTCACGGGCAGCAGAGAGCAGGAGCGGTTCGGGAGGAGATCCTTCGGGAACCGGGCGGACAGCGAGCGGGAGCGCTACGGCGGCCGCGACGAGCGGGAGCACGAGCGGCCGGGCGGGCGCGACAGGCGAGACTGGGGACGCCGCAGCCCCGAGCGCGACCGGCACAGGGACTCGGAGGACAGGAACAGGCGCTCCAGCGGCCACCGAGACAGGGAGAGGGATTCCAGGGATCGGGAGTCTCGTAGAGACAAGGAGGAGAGCCGCGGCAAGGAGAAGCCGGAGGTGACAGACAGAGCGGAGGGCGACAAAAACCACGAGTCCCACGGCGGCAAAACGGAGGGCGCGGACCTTGTTTCAGAACTGGCTGCGGGAGACGCCGAACCCGCGGGCGCCAACGCCGCGCCGGAGTCAGCGCCCGAGGCTACCTCATCCCTGGAACAGGCGGACAAGGACACGGGCTCGGCGGCCGAGGCGCCGCGCTAGGGCTGCCCGCCCGCAGGGCCGAGCTTTGGTTGTACAGTGCTGTAAATCCGCTTCCGCCCCTGCGCCCCCGAGGCGGGGCGCTGTGAGCAATTTGATTGCTTCCCTTCTATTTAAAATAGCCACAACATAACATAAAATACTGAAGAGATGATTAAAATATTACCCATTTTTGCTGTAACTTTTTTAAAGTTTTGACTTTAAAAAGTTTACGAATCAGAAGTAGAAGTGCTTTCTATTTTTTTTTTAATTTAAGAAAAGGTAACGGTGAAAGCTCCTCAAAACAATAGGGATGTGTTTTTAATAAACTCTATTTTCGTAACAAACTTTTAACGTGTGCTATTCTTCCTACGCTGCACTGAAGTGGAAAAGGAGTGTTCAGCAGCCTAAAGTTGGAACTGTTAATGCTGTACTGGAGTCTAAATTAGACTGGTTTGGTTCTGTTTGTTAAAGGAAATCCATCTGTTTGTGTAGCGATTCACAGAAGTGAATTTTTATTTGTAACAGTCCTCTGGAGTTTTAGATTGCTGCATTTTAATGAGCTACTTGACCACCCCGGGTAAAAGTTAGTTTTAAGATGTTAATTGCGGAGTTAACTGTTTTAGTGTTTGCAATGCAATCCATTCTTTGCTTTATTTTTTTTTCACTCCCTCCTTTCAATTGGTTCTGTGGTTCCTGTTGCTCTTAATTTGCCTTTTTTTAAGTGACCCCTTCAGGCACCGACCATCTGCTCTGAGGTTACACAGTGTGTGCCTGCTCTGCAGCTTTTGTACTTGGGAGTGAGACCTCGGAGGCACCAGGATTCCAGCCTGGCTCTCCAGGCAGGGCTGGACAAGGACTTGGCCCTTCCTCCATGGACACGGGGCTGCTCCTCCTTGCCCTGCCAGAGGTAGGTTGTGCCCCCCTGGGCTGGTGACAGAGGGTGTTCCTGGTGTTCCTGGGTGTTGTGGCACCTCCTCTCCAGAGCCCTTCCATGTCCTGTCAGCTGTGCCAAGGGCAGGTGCAGTTTCTCTGTGGCTGATCCCTGGGGCAGGGATGCTTTGGGAAGTTCTGCCCACCCCATGTGGCTCAGAGCTCCCATAACCCCAGCAGCACCAGTGTATGAATCCTGTGCATATTCAATGGTTTTTTTCTCCTTGCTATAGGTGTGTTCTACCTTAAAAGCTGGGGATTTTGCCCCAAGGGAAGGGCAGCTGCTTCCTTACATCAGTCCTTTTTTACAGCTGGCCTGCTGTAAAAAAGGGCAGAGGGAATTGTCTCTGGGGAGGGAGAGGGTTGGGAGAGCCACTGTGGAGCTCTGGACTGGGGAGAGGACATCTATTTTTATGTTCTTGCAATAGCAGAATAAAGAGAGAAAGAACCTGTTTACAGATTGTAGTGACCTCAACTTCCATGTGTTAAAACTCGTGTCCTCCCTCACTGGTTGTTTCCTGCTGGGCCCACGGGACATTCCGTTGTCCCACAAATCGAGGTCTGAGCCTTGGGAAAAGCTGCCCCAGCTCTGTAAGGAAGGAAGGTTTGTTTCACTGAGAACACCTCCTTAAAGAGCTGGAGACAATGAGAGACACAAGGCTGCTGTGTTCATGCAAATCCCACCCCTGTTCTCTGCCTCAGTAGGGATCTGAAAGCAGAGCCTGGAAAACTGTGGAACAACTCTTTACACCTTCTGCAGCAGAGCCTGTGCATAACCCTCACAGCAGCAGCAGCAGCAGCAGCCCTCTGGAGGAGGCACAGAGAGGTGAAGACTCACACAGTGCTCTGGCAGCAACAGGGAACGTAAGTTCAAAGCCTTTTTACAGTATTCTGCTCTACTACCCAGCTCCCTTAGTGCTGTGCCTCAGTGGAGTGGGGTTACCTGGGACTGCAGCCTGCTCCCTCCCTGAATATCCTGAAGTGCAGAAGAAAGGAACATTGGTGGAAGTCCTCATGACTCTTTTCTCTATGAAGAGAGAGCCTGAAATCTGTTTCAGAAGGACATACCAGAACAGGATGGAGGTTGGCACTGGCCCACAGTGGGCACTTCTGGGATTCTGCCTGGAACCTCTTGATGGATGGAATTTAACCACGCACCTGCTGAAGCCAGGCCCCCTTTCCCAGCAGGGGCAGGTTTGGGCCTTTGGGTTTTTTATCCTGTTCACAGACAGCCAGACCCGGGTGTATCTGCCCAGAACATTTATTACACAAGTTTGAAGCCTACAGATGCTGCCCCTGCCCCAGGAGGAAGCCCTGACACACCCAGGGGCTGGAACAGGAGCACTACTCACATCTTCCCTCAGAGCAGGGATGTGACACGGAATGGTGGCAGCAGGAGCGTGAGCACAGACCACAGAGCCGTTCCGTCAGGGCCACTTTAATTGAATATACATCATACAAAACTCGGTCAGTCTCCAGCGTGTGAGTGCTGCTCGGGATGCAGAGGAGCAGGAGATTGATGACACATCTGGAAGTTGCAGGAGGAGGGGAAGGAGCAGCAGGAGGAGCACTGCAGGCAGCACACTTAGCACTTGGCAATCCCAATCACCCCGCAGGCCAGGCGGGGCCCCGCGTTCCCAGTCAGCAGGCTCTCGTCATTGCCCCCTTTGCCCAGGTCATCCCGCCTCTCGTGCACCTGCAGCACAATTAAGGGACCTTCGTTAATCCAGCCATCACTGCTCCTGGCAGCAGCAGCAGCACCTCCACACCAGCTACACACTGCCAAACTGATCTCCATGCTGGAAACTTCCCACTGCACCTGCCCAAGGGCGCTCCAGGCACCCACAGCGGGAAGGAGCAGAGTTAGAGAGGGACATCTCCAGGAGGCTGGCAGGGACGTGCCACACCAAGGCACAGAGGGATGGATGTGAATGCCCTGTCCCTGCTCTGAGCTCCCCACTCACCACCATGGTGCGGCCGATGATGCAGTGTGGTCCCGAGAGGGAGATGACGGAATCCTGGATGGACACCTCGGCCACGCCTCCCTTGGCAGTCACATTGCCCAGGTCTCCCACGTGCCTGCACGGACACACAGCAATCTCTCAAAGTGGCCTGCACCCAAAGCTCTTCCAAGGCAAGGCTGGGAGTTTATGTTACAACACAACAAAGGCTCCCAAATCCAGTGGAACAACCTTTCCTGCAGACCTGGTGGACACCACCGCTGTTCTCAGAGCTTCTGCTGTCCAGGACAGCTCAGCTATTCCACAGGCTTTTGGTTTAAGGAGGATTAGGAGAAGCGGTTTGTCAGGCAGCAGGTCAAAGGCAGTGCAGGAACTGCTCAGTCCCAGCCAGTGCCAGGGATGATTATTCCAGTTTGGCATTACCCCATCACTTGGCACTCTGCTCTCCCACACAGCTTCTATCAGCTGCATCTCTGCTGAGCCTTCCCTGGAGAGCTGAGCCTGGAGCAGTGGAATTGTCACAGGACTGCTGGCATGCTGCTGTGCTGTGTCCTGCACAGCAATCCCTCAAAGTGCAGCTGATCCTGTGGTGTCAGGCTCCTCTGTCCAGATTCAGAACCTGGACTACTGACACATCTCTGCCAGGTGATCAGCTCAGCCAGCCCAGGGCTGACAACCAGCTTTCTACAAAAATTCCTGTTTTTAACCAGGTCCTCCAGAACTGGGTTAATGACAGCTCTCCTCTGAGGAATCTCCTTGATTTAAGCTTCCAAGAAGCATCAGTCCAGTTGTTTCTTACACTGATAAAAGCAAGATCCACTTCTTGCACCCCTCTAAGGAATCCCCCTGGCCAGAGCCAGTCCAGGAGCAGGATCTGCCGAGGCTGCAGAAGCCCCAGTGTCCGTGCAATCCCAACCTTTAGCCCCGAGCAGCGGCTGCCAGGGCCCCGGCACACGTTCATGCTGTGTCATGCAGGAGCTGGCTCGGATCCAGCTCTGCCCGGCCTGTGGCTCAGGTGGGATTTGCCAGCCACCGATGGGAGCGTTCCAAGGGCCATCCTATCCCTGTGCAAGGCCAGGCTGCCTGAGCCCTGCTCCCCAAACCCAGCAGGCACAGCCACACCACTTCCTCTGGCACCCACCCAAGGGAACTGCTGTGAGAGCTGCTCCCAGGGAAGAGCCAGGTCTCATCCCGCTCAAATCCAGATACCCAGCATAAGCCCTCGTTGCAGGCCCTCGCTGTTCCCTCCACCCAAGCCATAGAAAACCAGAAAACGTCCCCAGGAGAGTATTTGACACCACACTCTCAGGGAAACAAACTGCTGGAGTTACCAAAGAGCGGCTAAGTGACCTCGGGAACCCTGCAGGAATGCCCAGGGATTTTCTGGCAGTGCCCGTGCCCTGGACTCACCTCTCGGCATCGCTGGGACCCCCGTGCTTCTTCTGCTCCGGGTTGAAGTGGGGGCCAGCACTGGTGCACCCTGGAACAAGCACAGCGTCAGAGCAGGATCCCGGGATAAAGCTGCTGCTCCCACACCGCTCCCAGCCACAGCAAACAGCTCCTCTCCCGTGCCATGCCCTGCTAATCCCCTGGAGATAAATCACCTGCCACAGCCTTCCGAGTCCCAGGCTCAGCCAGGAGCTCTCTTATTTCATAACACTGAGTTATCCAAGCGCTCAGGTGAGTGCTTGGTATGGCAGCTCTTGACCACCAGCCTCAACACGCTCAGAGTATTTATTATCCAGGAAGCAACTCCTCGGCAATGGTCACGATTTCCTCACACAGATTTGCAGCCGTGAGACCCAAGCTGCTGCTGCGACACCACGAGCAGCTCTGCAGGGCTGAGCAGCCCCTGTGCAGGGACACCTTACCATTGGTGTTGTCCCCGAACTCGTGGACGTGGAAGCCGTGCTCTCCATCGGCCAATCCAGTGATTTTCCCAGTCACTTTCACCGGTCCAGTACCCTTCAAAGGAGAGCATTTATCAGCACAAGGACTTTGCCATTACACGGCTCCGTGTCAAACCAAGGTGACAGAAAGGCCCTGCCACGAGCCCAAGGCAACGCTGTCCGGAATGTCTGCGTTCGTTTAACGCCCTCGAACGATTTCCTTTATCACTAAGCGCAAGGGGTGCCTGTTATCTGACGGGGCCTTCCAGAAAGATCCCGCACTTTGGCAGAGTGACCCCGCGGCCGCGCTCCCGGGCCGGCCGCAAGGGAGGGCGCAGCTCCCGAGGGCCGCGGCCATTTGGAACCGCAGCGCCCTCGGGCTGAGCTCGCCCCGCTCCCTCCGCCACGGCCAGCAGGCTGGAGAGGGACATCCCGGGGGCTCCGCACCCACCGGGGCGGTCCCAGCGGCCCGGCCGTGCCCTCACCTGCTGCTCGAAGTGGATGACGCCCTCCACAGCCCCCTCGCCGCGCATCACACACACGGCCCGCACCGCCGCCATCTTGTGCCCGCCCCGCCCGCTGCGCCCGCGGACTGCGGGCTGGCCACGCCCCCGCTCCCGTTATATAGGGCGGGCGGCCGGCGCCGCGGCCAATCGCGCTGCGCGCCGCGCACCGCTCGGCCAATCGCAGTGCGGGGAGGCGGGAGCGGCGGGGCGCGCGCGGCGGCAGGAGGCGCCCTCTGGCGGTGGAAGGTGCGTAATGGGGACCGGGACCGGGACCGGGAACGGGATGGGGACCGAGACTGGGACCGGGACCGGGACGGGGATCGGGATCGGGACCGCGATGGGGGTCGGGATCAGGATCGGGAAGGATTCAGAGGGAGCGGGACCGGGAGCGGAGAGGGTCCGCCGTGCCGTGCCGTGCGGACGAGCCGCAGCGCGGTGTCCCCGCTCCTGCCGCAGCTGTGCCGGGCTGCGGGCGGATGCTCCGCTCCCATCCCGAACTGGAATGCGGCTGTGAGGCTGTCCCCGAGCAGCACTGCTGTCATCCCGGTCCCGGTGATCCCGGTCCCGGTGATCCCGGTCCCGGTCCCCGTTGTGCACCTTCCACCGCCAGAGGGCGCCTCCCGCCGCTCTGCTGTCACTAGAGCTCTCGGCGCCGAGGCTGTTCGGAACCTAAATCAGAATCACAGAGAGATTGGAGAGTACCTGGGGCTGGTGTGGACACCCTGTGCCAGGGCGTCCCACCCTCCCAGGGAACAATCCCTTGCTGATATCCCATTTAAACCCACTCTGTGTCACTTTGCAGCCATTCCCCCTCTGGGCTCTCTCCAGCAGCTCCAGCTCCTGCTGCTGTGTCTCACCTGGGCACAGGAACAGAATCCCCCCTTCCTGCTGCCCACGGGGTTTTTATTAATTTCTGTAAAACCCAAGTAGTTTTAAGTGACTTTATTGGGGCCTCATTAGGCCAGGGAAGGATGCAGAGAGGTTGTGGTTGTTTCACACCTCACACAACAAAGACCAGAGTCACCTGAGGCTCAGGTGACATTACTGCAGCAGAGATTTGTTTGTTGGAGAGCACCAAACCAAGTGAAAAAAACTTGATCCACATAAATACCTGGAGGCTGTTTGTCTGAGAGAGAGAGAGACACACATTGGGATTTGTAGCCTAACCCTGGGAAGATGCTGGGAAGACAGCCAGCCAGAGCTTCCTATCTAGGAAGGGTGAGATAAACTCCTGGGAGTCACTTGTGAGGAAACGGGGACAGCAGCAGCACCCTGAGCCTGCTCCAGCAGGAGGAGGAGAGCTTCCAGTGCCCTCCAGCTGGCCCTTGCTTGATTTAGAGAGGTTTCTAAACTTTTTAAAAATGATAATGTCTTGTTTTACTTCCCTGCAGGGCTTTCTCTTTGAGTCTGCTCTCCAAAGCTGCCCTGATGTTTTCTTCAGGTTTATTGCTTCCTCCCTGCAAGTGAGCTCCAAGATGTGCCCTTCTCTGTGCTCCCACACAAATGTGGCACCAACAGATGGATGAGAGCCAGATGTGTCAGGTTTCTTCAGAGGTGAAGTGAAATAACCAGAGGTAATTTCAGAGACTGATGGCGTCAGTAATCCTGGGCTGCCCCAGTTGGGCAGGTTTGGTTATGTTTTGTCCCACATAATTCTTTCTTACTCCTTTATTTTCTTAAATCTCGCCAACAAGAGATTAAAAAAAAAATCGTACTTTCTTAAAGTAGGTGAGAAAATCCACCCCCCAGTGCAGTTGATTTTGACAGCACAAAAATCATCGTTTGACCCTGCCACACCAAAGGGTGACTTGATTATTTTGTCATTTGGAGTATCAGAGTCAGAGAGAAGAGAAGAGAAGAGAAGAGAAGAGAAGAGAAGAGAAGAGAAGAGAAGAGAAGAGAAGAGAAGAGAAGAGAAGAGAAGAGAAGAGAAGAGAAGAGAAGAGAAGAGAAGAGAAGAGAAGAGAAGGAGAGCATCTTGATTTTCTCCTAATCTGCCAGTTTAAAGGCACTTTAGGCATCTTGGTTCTCTCCTAATCTGCCAGTTTAAAGGCACTTTAGGCATCTTGGTTCTCTCCTAATCTGCCAGTTTAAAGGCAGTTTGGGCAACTTGGTTCTCTCCCAATCTTTTTTAGTTTAAAGAATGAAGTAACTGCTGCGTGATGCAGGTTAACAGCCACCTAAGCTATGCAGAGAAGAGTTAATAAACTTCTCAGCAAAATGTGACAAAGTAGCAAAAAATCCCAACCCTTAGGTCCTGTAAAAAGCTGGCCTAGAGCAAGCATAAATCCCTCGAGGGAGCAATTCCCCAGTGAGATTTTATACGAGTTAAAAATGAGGGAATTTTCAGAGTAGCATTTCCTGTGCTAACTACACGCGGTGCAAACAAATCCTGTTTCCTGCCCGTGGAGATTCTGTGGGAAAAGCAGCGAGCTGGAATGTCCATCTCACCGTGTCCTGAGCAAAAGCTGTGTGTCAGGAACAATTCCCCTGGATTAGAGGGTAAGAAAAAGCCACTCCCGCCTCCGGGGGATGCTGGCAGAGGGCACTCCCTGACTCGGCGCTGCTGAAATTCCCAGCTGAAACGCGCTGTGGAAATGATTATTTCCCTGCAAACTGCTGGAAAACGCGCTGTTGGAACGAGGGGAGGTGCTGCTGCCATGCAGGGGGCTGGTAATTAAAGCAGTGTCAGCAGGAGAGCCTTTGTGTGGAACGGGCAAGATTAAAACCCGCATTGACTCGCGGCTCAGCTGAGCTTATCCTTGTGCTGCTCGCCCACCCTCTGCTGCTCCCCGAGCTGGGCAAGCCTGAAACACGAGCCGCAGAGGAGAGGTTGTGTAAATGCTGGTCGGGAACTTTGTCCCCTCTGCGCCTCTCTGCCAAGGTCTGCCCGCTGTGGGATTTAATTATTTGTGATATTCCTGCTGCTTTTGCCAGCTCGCCTTCACCGAGCGCTTCAGGGATCCCACACAGCAGCAAAGCCTGGAAAGCCTTCCACTGTGGGAACAGCCTGACAGGATGGAACTGGGACCACAGAGCCAGGAAAGCCGGGATGGAGGGAAATGGGGCATCCTGGAGCTACTGCCGTGGCACAGAGGGATGAGCACAAACTGGAACTTAGCTGGAGTTTAAAATGGTTCCTAAGCTAGAGCATGGAAATATCCCTCCTGAAGCTGGCCAAAGACAGAATACTGTCCAGAAAGCACATCTGACACAAAAACTTTTTTTTTTTTATTTTATTTTTATTTTTTTGAATGAGAGACTCAAAATGTTTACACTCTCAGGAATGTTATTTTGGCTGCTGAAAGGCACCTGAAGGAATGCAACCAAAACACTGCGTGTCTGTGTAGAAACATAGAGATATATTCATGGGATGCATGTTTCAAAATATATCAATTTGGATAAACATCAGCAAAGTCCAAAGAAATCCCTGTACCTTGCCATGCTTTGTCTGGATAAGGATTTCATTCACAGTGATGAGAAGGGAAAACTTGGTGTTAGATTTTATTGCCAGGTTTTTGTTTGTGAAAGTTCTTACAGTGGCTACTAAACTGAGCAGAACACTTTGCAAATGCCAGCCCGCGCGAGTGTGTGCCAGAGGGAGGATCCAGGGGGTTCATTTTGGATTGATTCCTGACACAAACTGCCCTGCACTCTCATTTTTTGCCACATGCACAGCTCAGTGGTGCAGCAGGTGTCAGGACACCTGAGGGCGAGGTGCCTTGGGTTTAACTCAGCCGTGTTGGGTAATCCTCGAGATGCAAAGTACAAAACCACGGGGAAAATGCCAATTATTGCGCAATTAGAAAACGAACGCTACCACGGGGTGAACTGCCCTGTTTCTGCAGGAAAGCAGGAAGGACAAGCAGAATATAACAGGCAGGTGTCCAGAATAACAAAGATGTGGTTTCATTTGGAGTTTTAAACACATGGTTTGTTCTCTGGGAGCTCTGGATGGCTGGGAACCACACTGGGTTTGTAGAGCTGTCAGTAAAATGAGGCTTCGAGGTGCTGCTTTAATACAAGCAATTATTAAATAGGAATGCAACTGGAAAATGCACCAACCACATATTTCCATGCAGCTTCCACGGCACCGTGGAGCATTTATTCATTAATTCTGATGTGCCCTGCATCTGTGTGGAAGTTTCCCTGCAGCCCCCAGCCGTGCCAAGGGGCCGAAGGGCTGCAGGAGGCAGCCTGCAGACTTTGCACCCAGGGCACCCACCATCCCTGCGGGCTCCAGGGGCTGCAGCACCTCCCCAGAATGTGCTCACCGCACCTCTGTGTGCCTGCAGGGCGCTGGAAGAGGCTCTGGCACCTCCAGAAGCTGAACCACATCCAGGCCTGGCAGTCTGGGGCAATCCAGGCGGGCACGTGGGACCAGTGGGGCAGTCTAGGGCTGCTGACAGTCCCTGGCTGGCAGTGCCCAGCCTGGCAGTGCCCAGCCTGGCAGCAGGAGCAGCTGGAGAGCAGCACTGACTGTGGTTGTTCCCTAAGCCCAGCCTGTCTCTCCGATCCTGGCTAAACCAGGCTTTGAGGAGCCTGGGATTTTCTGGCCAGGATCACTCTGACAGCTCCGGGTGCAGCCCTGCTCTGCTGTGCCAGGCACCTCTCCCTCTCCAGAGGCAAATCCTCCTCCCTGCAGCCTCCTGGCACCTTTCCTCCCCTCCTGCCCCTGGCTGCACCCCTGGAAAGGGGTTTTGGGGAGCCACAAGCCATGGACATCTTTGGCTGTTGCTTCAGACACTGAGCTAAGTTTGTACAGAAAACAGAGGCAGGAAAGGAAAAACCTGCTCAACACAAGCTAGAACCAGCTTGTTGCTCCTTACTTTTTTTTTTTTTCAGGTTCAGCGTGTCTCTGATGGGGACAGAAGTGGCAGCGTGAATGAATGAACAATTTGGGGTTGTTTGCGGCAGGCGGTTCGGGGTTTTTCAGCGCTGGCAATGGTCAGGGAGTGCCACTGGATGGCCCCCGTGCTCCACGTTTGGGGGTAGGCTCTCCCTCCCTCCGTGCTTCTCTTTGGCAAAATACTGTAAAATTTGGAGTAGCAAAAACGGCAAAAAAAAAAAAAAAAC